AATCAATTCTTTTTCCGGCTCAGACTGCATTGGTTAAACTTATGGTGCCGTCACATGATGAACGAATGACTCGAAAAACCCGAAGACTCGAAACAGGTGAACTACTTGACTAATTCAAAATAGATCACAAAAGTATTTAGTGTTTTCAGTTTGTATATTATTTCTACATTTCTTTTGGACCTGAGGTAGAGGACTTGGAAACATGGTAAAAAAAAAATCCTGTTGGTTTTTGGCATAAATAATACTATAACAGGGATAATAATTCACTATGTTAATTAAGTATTATTATTAATATAAAACTAATATTAACTTTATCCCTCAGGCGAAACTGTTAATGAGGGGAATTAAATGAACTTTTATTGTCATCAACTGTCATCCATACGTATTCATTTTAATAATCTTTTTTTTAAATAATTCATGTAATTTAACATGTGGCCTGAAGAAATAATGTCTATTATTTTGGTTTGTGAGATCGGATCGCGCTGCGCGCACACAGAAACATTCAGGAGCACAGAAACTTGTCGTCAAAGCTGCCCCACAACTTTTAATAATAAAGTAGCTTATGTAACGGAGGCCAGCTGGTAGGTGCTCTGCAGGTAAACCTCACTCCCCTGATCTCAAGAGGCACACTAGCGACTGATGCTAAAGGCTGCGGTCCTTAGCCTCCTTGTTAGTGCGCCGAGATATATCCATCTGGTTACTATTGGGGGCTTTCGGGAGGAACCGTGTACAAATGCTGCCTGTAAAAGTCATCAAAGCTAGGCAGCTTTCGGACACATTAAAATAAGGCTTCGCTTGACAGGAAGTCAGCCATCCTCTGCAATTTTTGCAATTTTCAGGCGTCATACGTTAACAAACTCCAAACAAACAAAAGCCAAGAAATCTTCCACTTGCGCTCAGTGTGGAAAGAGTTTCACAAGCAAATATAATCTTGATGTTCACATAAGAGTTCATACTGGAAAGAAGCCGCACGCATGTGATCAATGCGGGAAGAGTTTTGCACAAAAAGGACACCTTACAATACATATGAGAGTACATACTGGAGAGAAACCATTCACTTGTGGTCAATGTGGAAAGAGATTCACAAACTCAATAAACCTTAAGGTACACATGAACATCCACACTGGAAAGAAACCTTACAAGTATTCACACTGCAACAAGAGATTTAATGAGTCAGGAGACCTGAAAACACATGAGAGGATTCACACTGGTGATAAACCATTCACATGTGATCAATGTGGGAAGAGTTTGACATAAAAAGAACACCTTACGAGATATGAGAGTTCATACTGAAGAGAAACCGTTCACTTGTGATCAGTGTGGAATGAGCTTCACACAATCATCAAACTTTAAAGGGGTCATATGATGCTGCTAAAAAGAACATT